TTTTTTTTTTTTTTTTTTTTTTTTTTTTTTTTTTTTATTGACATTTATTTAGTTTTTTTTTTTTTTTTTTTTTTTTTAAATTTTTTTTTTTTTTTTTTTTTTAATTTTTTTTTTTGATTTTTTTTTTTTTTTTTTTTTTATTTTTTTTTTTTTTATTTTTTTTTTTTTTTACAATTTTTTTTTTTTTTTCCGTTTTTAATATTTTTATTTATTTTTATTATTTTTTTTTTTTTTGTTTTTTATATTTTTTTTTTTTATTTTATTTTTTTTTTTTTTATTTTTAGCATTACTTTTTTTTTTTTTTTTTTTTTTTTAATTTTTTTTTTTTTTTTTAGAATAATATTTTTTTTTGCTTTTTTTTTAATTATTTTTTTTTTTTTTTTTTTTTTTTTTTATTTTCATTTTTTTTTTTTTTTGACATTTTTTTTTTCACATTTTTTTTTTATGAAATTTAAGAAAAAAGGCAAATTTAACAAAAAAAAAAAAAAAAAAAAAAAAAAAAAAAAAAAAAAAAAAAAAAACAAAAAACAAAAGAAAGAAAAGATTTAAAAAACAAAAAAAACAAAATTTTTTTTTTTTTTTTTTTTTTTTTTTTTTTTTTTTTTTTTTTTAAAAAAAAAAAAACAAAAAAAAAAACAAAAACAAAACAAAATGAAAAAAAAGAATTTTAAAATTTGAAAAAATATTTTTTTTTATTTTTTTTAATTTTTTTAAATCACAACATTTAATTAACATTATAAAAATATTTTTTAAAAACAAAAGAAAAATTTTTTTTTTATTTTTAAATTTATTTAATGACCGCATAAAAAAATTTAAAAAAAAAAAAAATTTTTTTTAAATAAAAAAAAATCAAATTTTTTTTTTTTTTTTTGACCACAAATTTTTTTTTTTAATTAATAAAAGAATTTTATTAAAAAATGAATGCAAATTTTAAACAAAAATGATTTTGAAAATTTCAAATTTTATTTTTTTTTTTTTTTTTTTTTTTTTTTTTTTTAAATTTTATAGAGAAAATTTTTTTTTTTTCATTCATATTTTTTTTATGGATTAAAATTTTTTAATAAAAAAATAAAATTTGGAATCAAAAAAGGAATTCTGCCAATTAAAGAAAAATAGGGGGCGAAAAAATTACCCAAGTAAAAAAAAACCGTATATTTTTTTTTTTTTTTTTTTTTTTTTTTTTTTTTAAAAGAGACGTTATTTAATAAAAATAAAAAATTAATAAATACATTGGTGGGTTTTCTGAAAAAAAAAAAATCTTATTTGAAAATTTTTTTTTTTGCTTTTCATTTTCAAATTTCAAATTATTATGGAAATTTTTTTTTTGCCTTTTTTTTTTTTAAAAAATATTAACGAATTTTTTTAATTTTTTTAAATTTTATATTTTTTTTTTTTTTTTAAATTTTTTTAATTATTTTTTTTAAGTATATATTTTTTCAAAAAAAAAAATTTAACCCGTCATGAAATTAAAAAATTCAAAATGGAGCCAATGGCTTATTAAAAATTTTTTTTATTAATTTTTCTGTAATGAATTCATAAAAACAAAATTAAATTTTTAAAATCTACAAAAGGTAAAAAATTATATAAAATAATAAAAAAAAATAATAAATTATATATAAATATATATATTTTTGTAAAAAATATTATAATATGATTGTATAAAAAAAATAAATATTTTTTAAATATATAACATTTATTTTTATAAAATAAAAAAAAAAAATATTAAAAATAAAAATAAAAGTTTTTATCCGTCATTGATATTCATTTGTATCCTAACTTAGAGACATTACTGTATTTATATCATTTTTGTACCGTTTATTAAACTGTTATTTGATTTTTATTTGCTATTATTTTTTTTTTATTAATATTTAGTGTTAATCATTTTGAATAGTTTTTTAAGACAGTTAACACAACCTGTGTAAATAATTTTTGGGTTTTCACTTTTTTAATACATTTGCATTAGTATTTATTTATTTCAGGTACTTATATGGCGCCATATTTTAAAAATTTACATATACATTGTACATTTTTTTCAGTCCCCGCCCCCGATTTTTTTTTTAACAATCTAAGGTCCCTAATTTCACATCATTCATACAATACAAGGGACAATTTTTAAACAAAACCAATTCACCTCCCAAAATGTCTTTGGAGTGTGTAGGAAACTGGAGTACCCATAGGAAATTACGCAGGCACAGGGAGAAACATGCAAACTCCAGGCAGGTGGTGCCGTGGTTGGGATTCGAACCCCAGTACTAAAGGCGGAAGTGCTAATCGCTCAGCCACTGTGATGCCCGTATGTTGATCCTTGATATAATTTTTTAATAAATACTTTACATTATTTGTGACTTCAAATTCAAAAACTATCCGTAAACAATTTTTTTCTTTTGATTTTTCGTTTCATAAAGTTTTTTTTGATTTTATTTTTTTAATTAGCAGATACGATTCAACATTTTCCGTTGTGATTTCGGCTAGTATATTTTTTTTTTGCAGGATTCCATTTAACTATGTTGTATACAGTTCGGGAAAAATATTTATACTGACTGATCATTACGTGCTGCTTACAGAAGTCATTCTGATGTTTTATCCCTTAAAAATGGCCACCGGTATTCCTTGACCGGACTCCAGCAAGATGGCCGCTGATATCACCTGAGCAAAGAATCTACAAAAAAAATGATTAAAAAATTTTTTTGTTTTGCGCCTTGCGGGCTATTTAAATGAGACCTGTGAAGGAAGTTTTATATAATGAGCGTACCCCTGAGGACGTGCATGTGCACGATAAAAAAACGCGTTGAGTGGAGCCAACACCGCTGATTGTAGATGTAAAAAAAAAAAAACAAAATGTTAGCATGTGCCAGAGATTTCTGTAGGTCTTTAGCTGACACTCTGGGATTCTTAAAAACCTCATGCAGCAAAAATATGGGCTCTTGCAGTCATTTTTACAGGAAACCATTTAATTAGGGAGAGTAAAAAATAAAAAAACTTTCTCCATTTGTTAGTTGTCTAAAAACCGTGGACACAGGAACATCAAGGCTCAAGGAGATACTTTTGTAAAATTTCCAGCTTCATGCAGGTCAATTAAATTTTAAATATTTAGGTCTTAAAAAAGAGCTATTTTCTGCGAGGCATGGTAAACATCAGAGAGTGCTTTTGAAACCAGTAAATTAAAACAGGTGTCATTTTAAAACACATCCAATATCATCACATGATTGGAGTAAGGTTGGCTCACTCCTTAAAATTAGCTTTGGGAGAAGTTATTAAGCTAGGGCCTCACATTTACTTTTTTTCCCTAATTGTGAATATTTTTACATGTTATGTAAATTAAACCATTTTAACATAATATTTGTTTGTTAGTATTTAAATGTTCATTTTTTTTACTGTGTTCTTATATTGTTGTGACTTAGATGACGTTTTATAAGCACATTTTAAAAAAAATTCAAAAAAAACTCCACGTAATTTTTTTTATCACATTTTTTTCTTGCAACTGTATCTTCTGCTGCGTGTACATCCGTCCAAGGTGGGGGATCCCCATCGTTTATTATTAAAAATGTTCTCATTTCAGGACGTTTTACAGAATATTATTTTTAAAATAAATGATATTTAATTATATATTCATTTGATCTGCGCAACTGCGGACATTATTATTGATGCAATAAAAACTGCACTGCTTTTGCGGATTTCATTTCTCATATTTTTTGTATAAAAAAAAATATATATAAATATATTCTGCACTTTACTTAATAACCTTTATTAGTAAAATTGTATTTCTGCAGCGCTGCACCTCTATATATACATCCTTGAAATCAGGATTATTAAAAAAAATATATAATTGTGTTCGCCCTCGCCTGTATACTTATCCATTATATTAGAAAAATATATTTAAAAAAAAAAAATATATAATATATATATATTTTTTTTTTTATTTATTTATTTAAAAATTTATTTATTAAATTTTTAAAAAAATTTATAATTTTTAAAAATAATTAATATAAAAAAAACATTTTTTAAAAAAATAAAAATTTTCTTATTTATTTAATCATATATATATAAAAGATTAAAAAAATAAGAAAATATTAAAAAAAAAAAGTAAAAAATATAGTTTAAAAATTCAATTTCCTTATATACTGTATATATATAAAAAAATTAAAAAATATGAGGGGACATTAGAGTGTCAGCTCCTCTGTACAGAGACTGATGGGACCGTGTGGGGGAGGGGACATTAGAGTGTAAGCTCCTCTGGTACAGAGACTGATGGGACTGTGGGGGAGGGGACATTAGAGTGTAAGCTCCTCTGTACAGAGACTGATGGGGTCTGTGGGGGAGGGGACATTAGAGTGTAAGCTCCTCTGGTACAGAGACTGATGGGTCTGGCTCAGTGATCTCTGTACAGCGCTGTGGTATTTGCATCCATCTCCCGGGATTGGTCCACATGTACAGATATGCACCCGGTGACCCCTCTGCTGTCTAGTATTTCAGGTCCTCTTAGCTCCCCCAGGAGGAAAAGTCACTCCATCGCGCCACAGCCGCGGCGAGGCGTCCATTAACGGATTCCCGTATTCTGGAACTATGAGTCCCCTCCCCCCCCCCAATCCGGCGTTGTGTGTTATTTGCAGATCCTGAGCCAAGCGCAGCGATGAGTCTGTCGCACCTTCTTCACACGGAGCGCACAGATCGCTGACACAGACGCACCTCGCAATCCGTCACAGCGCTGACACACCCCACCATTCCGCTCCGCCACTTAACCCCCGCAGAGCCGCCACGCCAACCCCTCCCCCCCCAATCACTTCATATGCCCCCAGGATCAGACCCTGACGGTGAGCGCGGCGCGGCCTCAGCATGTAATGTACAGAACTAACCAAACCGATTATAGAGGAATCAAATACACTGTCCAATCACAGAGGATTCCAATCCAATCTGTCCGTATCTCTACATCCCGCTCACAGCGCCATTTGTTAAGTCTAAAGTGTGCCAGCTCCTCCCCTTCAGTCTTGCACAGGTGTGTACCGGCTCCTCCCCTTCAGTCTTGCACAGGTGTACCGGCTCCTCCCCTTCAGTCCTGCACAGGTGTACCGGTTCCTCCCCTTCAGTCTTGCACAGGTGTACCGGCTCCTCCCCTTCAGTCTTGCACAGGTGTATCGGCTCCTCCCTTTCAGTCTTGTACAACAGGTGTACCGGCTCCTCCCCTTCAGTCTTGTACAGGTGTACCGGCTCCTCCCCTTCAGTCTTGCACAGGTGTACTAGCTCCTCCCCTTCAGTCTTGCACAGGTGTACTGGCTCCTCCCCTTCAGTCTTGCACAGGTCTGCCGGCTCCTCCCCTTCAGTCTTGCACAGGTGTGCCGGCTCCTCCCCTTCAGTCCTTGCACAGGTGTACCCGGCTCCTCCCCTCCAGTCTGGCACAGGTGTACCGGTTCCTCCCCTTCAGTCTTGCACAGGTGTACCGGCTCCTCCCCTTCAGTCCTGCACAGGTGTACCGGTTCCTCCCCTTCAGTCTTGCACAGGTGTATCGGCTCCTCCCCTTTCAGTCTTGTACAGGTGTACCGGCTCCTCCCCTTCAGTCTTGTACAGGTGTACCGGCTCCTCCCCTTCAGTCTTGCACAGGTGTACTAGCTCCTCCCCTTCAGTCTTGCACAGGTGTACTGGCTCCTCCCCTTCAGTCTTGCACAGGTCTGCCGGCTCCTCCCCTTCAGTCTTGCACAGGTGTGCCGGCTCCTCCCCTTCAGTCTTGCACAGGTGCCCCCCGGCCCCCCTCCCCTCCAGTCTGGCACAGGTGTACCGGCTCCTCCCCTTCAGTCTTGTACAGGTGTACCGGCTCCTCCCCTTCAGTCTTGCACAGGTGTACTAGCTCCTCCCCTCAGTCTTGCACAGGTCTGTACCGGCTCCTCCCCTTCCCCAGTCTTGCACAGGTCTGCCGGCTCCTCCCCTTCAGTCTTGCACAGGTGTACTGGCTCCTCCCCTTCAGTCTTGCACAGGTGTACCGGCTCCTCCCCTTCAGTCTTGCACAGGTGTACCGGCTCCTCCCCTTCAGTCTTGCACAGGTGTACCGGCTCCTCCCCTTCAGTCTTGCACAGGTGTCCGGCTCCTCCCCTCCAGTCTTGCACAGGTGTACCGGCTCCTCCCCTCCAGTCTTGCACAGGTGTACTGGCTCCTCCCCTGGACTGGAATGGCTTCCTCTGATGTCACTGCACACTGGGAGATTCTCACAATGTGCATTAGAAGCTGCAGCCAATCAGATAGAGCTCCGCCTCATTTCCTGGCTGAGGGACACCCAGCATCATATCTTTCCTCCCCAGCCTGACTGTCCCTGGCCCCGCCCCCTTTCATTCATTGGATTTCAGTTATTTCAATCATGGAGGCTCTGCATCATGTGTGGGCGTTACCTATGCAAATACCACCTGCCTAGGTACGCCCACTCCTCCAGACTGACACCCACCCATTTGGATATTTGCATAACTCCTCCCACTGCTTGCATAAGGACTGGGGGCTCCTGAGAGGAGTACTGAGGTCAGGGGCTGGGATGTTTTCAGGAAGCCATTTACAGCCCCCTGTGGCCCCTCCCACCATCCATTATCTGCCTGCATTGCCTAGAGACACACAGAGACCCAGTAATGATGTCACTGGGTCTGAAATAAGATATGTAATGAACACAGAAAGGTTTTTTGAATAATATCACCGAGAGAGGAAGTAAGGGGAGGAGCCATAAAACGTAAATCTTCAGCACACTTTGGGTGGAATCAGGCCTTCAGACTGCCTTTCCACTGCTGATTACTCGGCAATGGCAGCACATTGCCTGGCTGAGTCACTGGCCAGGATCTCCGCAGATTCTGACTCTCTTACATCATATATTTCATTTCCTGATCCTCCAGTCTGTATATTGCCGATCCGTGGCGCCCTGCGTGCCGCGCCTGTGCAGGATAATCGCTGAGTGCTCTTTTTTGGAGCCTCACACCCCTAAGTTGCAGCATCCCGCCACTTGGAGAACCGCGACAATTACAGCCGCCACCTCCCTGCGACTGCGAGGGGTGCGAAGACAGCGAGGGGTGCGAAGACAGCGAGGGCGGGGGAGGGGACAAGAGGCGGATCTACCTTCTGCCAGAGATGAGGTGCTGCAGCTAATACACCCGACTGAGCTCTGCGCTTCTACTGTCTGCCCCACAGGAGGGAGAACCGTCTGTGGATGACATCACATGTATCTTCATACCTGTACAGTGATGTCATCGGGAGGGATATTGACATGTGAGGTTGGGGGGCGGTAAACCCCCCCTAGTTGCACTGCCCTTTTACCTCCCACCAGTCTCTAGCCCCTTTAGTACCAGAAGCAGTGGCTGGGGGTGTAGACGTGGGGTGCTTCACAGCCGTGGCAGAACCTATACCATCAAAAAAGACCCATTCTGCAGCCACCCCCCAAACACCCCGCAATTACCCCTCATCACCCCCCCCCACCCCCCCCCCCCCCCCAAACCCCCCCGCAATTACCCCCAACCCCCCCCCCCCCCCCAACGCCCCCCCCAAACCCCCCCCCCCAACACCCCCAATTACCCACTCATCACCCCCCAAACACCCCGCCCCTGCCCCCCCACCCCCAATTACCCCTCCCCCCCCCCCAAACCCCCCCCCCCCCCCGCCCCCCAAACACCCCACAACCCCCCCCCCCCCCCCCCCCAAACACCCCCCAACTCCCCCCCCCCCCGCAATTACCCCCAACCCCCCCCCCCCCCCACACCCCCCCCCCCGCCCCCCCCCCCCCCCCGCAATTACCCCCCCAACCGCCCCCCCCCCCCCCCACCCCCAACCCCCCCCCAAACACCCCTGCAACCCCCCCCCCCCCCCCGCAATTACCCCCCCCCCCCCCCCCCCCCCACCCCAACCCCCCCCCCCCCACCCCCCAACCCCCCCCCCCCCCCCCCGCAATTACCCCCAACCACCCCCCCCCCACCCCGCAACCCCCCCCAAACCCCCCCAATTACCCCCAACCCCCCCCCCCCCCCCCCCCCCCCCCCCCCCCCCAAACCCCCCACCCCCCCCCCCCCCCCCCCCCCCCAACCCCCCCCCCCCCCCCCCCCCCCCCCCCCCCCCCCCCCCCCCCCCCCCAAACACCCCGCAATTACCCCCCCACCCCCCCCCCCCCACCCCCAAACATCCCCGCCCCCCCCCCCCAACCCCCGCACCCCCCCCAAACCCCCCGCAACCCCCCCCCCAACCACCCTCCAAACCACCCCGCAAACCCCCCCCCAAACACCCCGCCCCCCCCCCGCAACCCCCCCCCAAACACCCTGCAATTACCCCCTCCCCACCCCCCCCCCCGCCCCGCCCCCCCCCAAACACCCCCAACCACCCCCCGCAACCCCCCCCCCCAAAACACCCCGCAATTACCCCCAACCACCCCCCCAAACACCCCCAACCCCCCCCAACCACCCCGCCCCCCCCCCCCGCAACCCCCCCCCCAAACACCCCGCAACCACCCCTCAACCGCCCCCCCAAACACCCCGCAATTACCCCGCAACCGCCCTCCAAACACCCTGCAACCGCCCCCCAAACACCCCCGCAACCACCCCACAACCCCCCCCCAAAACACAATCCGATAAATGGGGGGAGGAGCCACGGAAATCGTTCGGTGCCATCGCCCCACTAACAGAGCGAGAATCGGTCGATTATTCTCAGGTCCGATTTTCGAACAAAAATCTTTCAGGAAATCGACCCTCGTATGGCCGCGGCCTTAGTTCCGGAATCGTCTTCTTCCTTCCGGTCCGACAAATCAGATTTCTCATCTGCAGAAATTCGACGCATACAAATCTGGTGAGCGCGGCGGTTGTTGGGCGCGCGCTGCGCGCTGTCAGTGCGATTTGGGAACGAATAATAACAATGTAATTATCTGCCGTTTGATATTCATATAATACATATATATGGATCTGACCTCCTGACCCCGGAGATGGAAATGCAATTAGCGGCAGAACATCATCGCGCCGAAGACGTCTTGTATTATTCCTTTCCCACGTAAGGCGACAAATTCCTCAAAAAATGATTTGCATTTGTTTTCCATCCCCCGAGGTCGTTGTACAAAGAGGGCCTAATGAGCGCAGAACCGCGCCGAGCTTTACACATTTATAATTGCGAAGAAAAGAACGCAGATCACAAAATCGCTCTCGTTAGGGAGAAACAATCGTCGTCTCATCCCTTCATTATCATTGGATCAGAATTTCCCTTCCAATTGTTACATCTCAGCAGGAAGGAAACATGTTAACGAAGAATTCTGAGCGCCGGTCCACTTCACCGCGACCCAGAAGCTATGTAGTAGTGGTGTAGTAGCCATGTAGTAGTGGTGTAGTAGCCATGTAGTAGTGGTGTAGTAGCCATGTAGTAGTGGTGTAGTAGCCATGTAGTAGTGGTGTAGTAGCAGTGCAGTATGGGTGTAGTAGCCATGTAGTAGTGGTGTAGTAGCAGTGCAGTATGGGTGTAGTAGCCATGTAGTAGTGGTGTAGTAGCAGTGCAGTATGGGTGTAGTAGCCATGTAGTAGTGGTGTAGTAGCCATGTAGTAGTGGTGTAGTAGCAGTGCAGTATGGGTGTAGTAGCCATGTAGTAGTGGTGTAGTAGCAGTGTAGTAGTGGTGTAGTAGCCATGTAGTAGTGGTGTAGTAGCCATGTAGTAGTGGTGTAGTAGCAGTGCAGTAGTGGTGTAGTAGCCATGTAGTAGTGGTGTAGTACCAGTGTAGTAGCAGTGTAGTAGCAGTGCAGTAGTGGTGTAGTAGCAGTGTAGTAGTGGTGTAGTAGCAGTGTAGTAGTGGTGTAGTAGCAGTGAAGTATGGCTGTAGTAGCAGTGTACTACTGGTATAGTACAGGTGTAGTAGCAGTGTAGTAGTGGTTTAGTAGCTGTGTAGTAGTGGTGTAGTACCAGTGTAGTAGCAGTGTAGTAGCAGTGCAGTAGTGGTGTAGTAGCAGTGTAGTAGTGGTGTAGTAGCAGTGTAGTAGCGGTGTAGTAGTGGTGTAGTAGCAGTGTAGTATGGTTGTAGTAGCCATGTAGTAGTGGTGTAGTAGCGGTGTAGTAGTGGTGTAGTAGCAGTGTAGTAGTGGTGTAGTACCAGTGTAGTAGCAGTGCAGTAGTGGTGTAGTAGCAGTGTAGTAGTGGTGTAGTAGCGGTGTAGTAGTGGTGTAGTAGTGGTGTAGTAGCAGTGTAGTATGGGTGTAGTAGCCATGTGTAGTAGTGGTGTAGTAGAGGTGTAGTAGCAGTGTAGTAGCGGTGTAGTAGTGGTGTAGTAGCAGTGTAGTATGGGTGTAGTAGCCATGTAGTAGTAGTGGTGTAGTAGAGGTGTAGTAGCCATGTAGTAGTGGTGTAGTAGTAGCGGTGTAGTAGTGGTGTAGTAGCAGTGTAGTAGTGGTGTAGTAGCAGTGTAGTAGCGGTGTAGTAGTGGTGTAGTACCAGTGTAGTAGCAGTGTGGTAGCAGTGCAGTAGTGGTGTAGTAGCAGTGTAGTAGTGGTGTAGTAGCAGTGTAGTAGCGGTGTAGTAGTGGTGTAGTAGCAGTGTAGTATGGGTGTAGTAGCCATGTAGTAGCAGTGCAGTAGTGGTGTAGTAGCAGTGTAGTAGTGGTGTAGTAGCAGTGTAGTAGCGGTGTAGTAGTAGTGGTGTAGTAGCAGTGTAGTATGGGTGTAGTAGCCATGTAGTAGTGGTGTAGTACCAGTGTAGTAGCAGTGTAGTAGCAGTGCAGTAGTGTGTGTAGTAGCAGTGTAGTAGTGGTGTAGTAGTAGTGGTGTAGTAGCAGTGTAGTAGTGGTGTAGTAGCAGTGAAGTATGGCTGTAGTAGCAGTGTACTACTGGTATAGTACAGGTGTAGTAGCAGTGTAGTAGTGGTTTAGTAGCTGTGTAGTAGTGGTGTAGTACCAGTGTAGTAGCAGTGTAGTAGCAGTGCAGTAGAGGTGTAGTAGCGGTGTAGTAGTGGTGTAGTAGTGGTGTAGTAGCAGTGTAGTAGCAGTGCAGTAGAGGTGTAGTAGCGGTGTAGTAGCGGTGTAGTAGTGGTGTAGTAGCGGTGTAGTAGCCATGTAGTAGTGGTGTAGTAGAGGTGTAGTAGCAGTGTAGTAGCGGTGTAGTAGCAGTGCAGTAGCGGTGTAGTAGTGGTGTAGTAGCGGTGTAGTAGTGGTG